GAATTTAAAGACCACGAGATGTGACAGGCATTGAGGAACGCTCATGTGAAGAGGAAGTATTCCCAAATGAAGAGGAACAAGAAGAGGAAGTTGAAGAGGAAGAAACAGATATTGGTCCTTCGGTATGCAGGGTTTTATGTCCTGAAGAGTTTGGTCATCTCCTGGAAAACAAAACAGCCCTTGTGTATGTTAACCAACTTACAGCTCTTGCTAAGAAGAGAGTTGACCCACTATGCAAAGTCAAGGGATGTGGTGGAGTCCTCAATATTGACATAAAGCATGTTGCATCTGCTGTCTATCTTAAATGGGTAAGAGTTGTATGGAATAAATTAAAAATTATAGTATACAAAATTTCTTAGTTTACACTTTTATCATATTTAGTAGGGCTGGGCAATAATATCAATATCTCAATATATTGCAATACAGTGACAAAAAATATCGTATCGCAATACGATTTTGTAATATCGATATATTGGCAATATACTTAGATTAAGGAATTTTGTCATTAAATATAAAAATGGACTTATGAAAGTTTGTTATTAAGCCAAACAGTAAGACAGAAGTTGTTTTGGGGGAACATTTCAGAGTATAACTTAATGGAAATCAACAAGATTTTTTTTCATGTTGGTTACTTATCATAGTTATGTACATTCTGCATGTAAATTAAAATAAATATAGTAAGAAATTGCCATTTTTATTACATTGAAAATATTGCAATACGTATCGCAATACAGTTTAAAATATCGCAATATATTGCAATACGAAATCTCGGGCCAATACCCAGCCCTAATATTTAGTATTCAAAGGGTATATATTAAGTGTTCTTGGTTTCAGGTATGTCAAAACTCTCATATCGCAGAGACTTGGTGCTCTCAGCCTGTTCTAAATCGAGGTCTACATGGTGGAGACCAGCTTATTTCCTCCGCCATTTTATTTTCTGGAAATAATTTCAACAAAGTTCAGCTATTTGCCAAGTTCCTGCAGATGGGTTTTCCAAGTCAGTCCTCCTTCACTAGGCTGCAGAGGAGATACTTGGTACCAGCTGTGGATGAACTGTAGGAGGAAACACAGACAGAATTGGCTACAGAGATGGAAGACAAAGATCTTATACTTCTTGGTAATGGCTTAATTTCAATTGTAATACATTTCATGCATTATTGCATTTTAATCATTCACTTCAGAGTAGGTGTTTGGCATGATAATCTAATGTTCCATGCTTTATAGGAGATGGGAGAATGGATAGCCCAGGGCATAGTGCGCAGTACTGCACTTATACTTTCATGGAGAATGACAGCAAGAAAATTCTCTCAGTAAAAGCTGTAGACAAAAGAGAAACAGAGAGAAAGGGTGCAAACCTTGAGAAAGAAGGATTTATAAGGGGAATGCAAGATGTCCAAGACAGAGGGTTACAAGTCAAAGAAGTTGTTACTGATGCTCACCTCCAGATAGGTGCCATTATGAGTGAGTTTTCACTTTCATTTTTTTATAGAATAAAACATATATATAACCTCTAAAGTCTTTAAAATAAGTTATGTTTTACTTGTTTTCTTTGATTTTATGACTTACATGTACATGTGTACAATACAAATTTGTTCAATAAAATATAAATGTATTCATTTTCTTATAGAAAAGGACTACAAAGACATTAAACATAGCCACGATATATGGCACGCTGCTAAGAACCTTGGCAAAAAGCTTATTGCGGTACGTTACAAAAATAAATTTTTTTAATCAATATATAACTTGCAAAAATTTGTCATTTTTCACATTGTTGCATTTATGGCAAAGAAATGTTTAATTTAAAAATGTTACTTACATGTATCTAGTGCATCTAATCTGTTCTATGTATTGTAGGCAGGACAAGAGAATAGTTGCAGAGAACTCCAGAAGTGGTCCAAGGACATTGTGAACCATTTCTGGTACACATGTAAAACAGCAAATAACTTGGATGACTTTATGGTAAGTTCACAGGATCCCATTTTGGCAATTCTTTAAGGTTGTTAATAAGTATACAGTTCATATCATGTGAAACACTGGAAATTTATTTTAAACAAAGATTACTTGTGAAGTGAAGCTTAGTTAGGATATTGTACCATCATCGTTTTCAGGTTCAAATAATTGGCAAGAAAGTAAATAATGTAATTCTGGTTCATAATTTTGTAAGAAAGGTACACATTGAGAATAAATTGTGCGAGCTTGCTCACATTATCTTAAGTTAACATTTTACATTGGTCTTGCTCAAAACACTTAAATTTTTGTCTACAAATAATCTATTCAGGAAAATGTATTGATATTGCTGTTTATTTTCTTCAATAGGGAATTTGGGGAGGTCTTCTCCATCATGTGGTTGGGGAACATGAATGGTTTTTGCCATACAGTGATACAGGTGTAAGTTGCTGCTCATATGATCCTATAACTGAGGAGACTATTAGGGAGAAGGAGTGGATGAAAAAAGGCAGCCCTCAGAAGAATTGTATTTGATAAGAGATTCCTACACAACATCCCTTACTATCTCAATTTCAGGTACAGAAAATATACACATGCATGCTGATGAAGCAAGAGAGCAATTAATCAATAGAGTAGAATAAAAGTATGAAATGTGATATAATGCACATGGTCTCATTTTTTCTTTCAGAAGTACAGCTGAACTTGAGAGCTTTCACAACCACATGTTAATGTACTCGTCAAAGAGATACTCATACACTCCTCCAGTGTACAGAGCGAGGAGTATATTAGCCGCTTTAGATTATAATGAACATGTGGACAGGGAACCAGTTATCAACAAAGATGGTACAGTCAGGTAGGCACAACAAAATTCAATATGCTTTCTGAAGTCTATGTACAAGTTGTGCAATGTTCAGTGTGATTCAAATCTCAGATCTTTATTTGACTTTTCATTTTGCTTCAGGCTGCAAAGGACGTACAATAAAAAGTCTGGTAGATGGTCAGTTTATCCAGTGAAAGAGAAAAAGACGTACAATCACATACCAGATCTATTGAGAAAGGTCCTGGAAAAGCGAATCAGAGACAGAGAAGGTTTCCATGGGCCAGTTGTACTGGAAGTAGGAGACCCTAGAAGGATCTGCAAGACGATTGCGCCTTCATTGCTGCCACCATCTGCTCAGCTAGCAGAGGAGAAAAAATCTCGATTTGAAAAGTAACTCTGTAACAAACTGATTTTATTATCACCCTCAACAGCGGCCAATCTATTTGGGTTGTGTTAGAAAGTATCGGGGCATACGTGTCCTATGGACATATTTCTAGTTTTTTTTTTAAACTTGCTTTAAACTATAAGTATTAATTGTTATCATATCTGAATTTCATTATCATTTTTCATCTGATAATTCTAAATAAATAGTTATATTTAAAGAGTTTACAATAGATAATCCCCAGCCTTTGAGTGTGTAAATAGGAAATCACAATTTTCCGAATAATAATGACATGGTAAAAGTGCATGGTGAATAAAATTTGAAAAGTTTTTCAAACTAGTAAAAATGTTTTGTAATGCATTATTGTGGGCTTTCTGTTTGCAGGTTGCTTGTTCAGTTTACGAAGAATATCTCGTGGGTTATTTTGTGATAGGATATCTGTATGCAGTTATGCTTGTTTTATTTATTACATGTATTGTAATTAATCCTCTTGTGACTAGGATTGACACTGTATTCACTAAAGCAGAAAATGCATATTTGCCACTGATGTGTAAAAAAAATTGTTTTTACCTCCCATGATCAGGGGTTCCAGTGATAGGATGGGGCTTTGTTGAACTAATAGTGGAAATGCATTATTTCTTTAAAAAGCTTCTTCTCTGCTCTTGGGTATTAAGTCAAACTATGTACCAAGTTATGATGGTCCCTGGGTACTGGGGGGATGGGGGTCTCTAATGATTATAGACTGAAATTAAATTAAACCTTTAAAGGCTGCTCTTTGGACTTACCAGTAATCAAAGATTTCTGATGAGCAAGGGTACCTTTTCCAAAATTTTTAAATATTTGTCCCTAGGGTCATGGAAGGAACTCTACTGATTATATATTGGTAATGCATTTTTCTTTATTCCTCTGCTCTGCCTTTGGGTATTAATTAATCAAAAGCATGTTATTAAAGTGTTTAGTTTTGATGAGTAATGGTGCCTCCTTCAATTTTGTGAATTTCATAGTCTCTGGTGTAAAACACAAATCAAATTCAATTGTTGCATGATACTCAGGTGACCTATAAAACTCATGGGCCTCTTGTCAAATAAATTTATCTATACCCAGTTTTACCATTTTATGATATGGATGTGACCATTCTCTGTTTATGATTCATGAAATAATAGAAGTAAGCATTTTGATAGAATATTTTCTTTCAAATATCTGGGGAAAAAATTGTCAGACATGAAAGTCAAACTTCTGTGATCATTTTTATTTTGAAACATGTATATTGCATATACAAACAGACATACACACAAACAAAAACCTCAGGGAAATTAATATAAATGTATTGCAATTCAAATCATGTACAGAGAGGAGCAAATTATTGTTAGCTCACCTGAGCTGAAGGCTCAAGTGAGCTTCTCTGATCACATTTTGTCCGTAGTCCGTCCGTCCGTCTGTAAACGTTTCACATTTTCAACTTCTTCTCAACAACCATTGGGCCAATTTTAATCAAACTTGATACAAAGCATCATTGGGTGATGGAAAGTGTAAATTATTAAAATAAAGAGACAAGGGTGGGGTCATTTAAAAATCTTCTTCTCGAGAACCATTGGGCCAGAAAAGCTGAAACTGATGTGGAAGCATCCTGGGGTAGTATTGAATCTAAATTGTAAAAATCATGACCCCAGGGGGTAGGGTGGGGCAACAATAGGGAATCCAAGTTTTACATAATATAGGAAAAATCTTCTCAAGAACCACTAGACCACAAAAGCTGACACTTATGTAGAAGCATTCTGGGGTAGTGTAGATTCTCAATAGTGAAGACCAAAATAGGGGTGGTGGTGGTGTTTTTTTTTTTTTTTTTTTTTGGGGGGGGGGGTAGGGGGTCACAATAGACATAAGAAGAGGGGAAATCTGGTAAAGAACTGCATCACTAAAGTTACTCAGTTGAGCGATGTGGCCCATGGACCTCTTGTTTTAAATTACTGTTGAGATTTTGGATTTCTTATGTATATGTACAAAAATAATAAAAAAGAACATAATTGAGTAAGATAAATTGTTGTTTTCCTTAACTTTATGCAGTTCTTAATCGAAAAGCATTATGTGTACTGTATTTGACAAATCACCCTAAGCGTGAAGGAATGTATCCTGTGTACTGGCCATACTGGTCTGGATACTTATCCCGAATGGCCCAAACGCAGCAACTAGGGATAACATGCCTCACACCAACACCAAGGCGCCCATGGTGCCACAGGATAAATTGGCGGTACCCTGCATGACGCTTTCCTTTGTTGTAGTCTTCATCCTGTGGCAAGGCAAACACATCCTGCCGGTACATCTGGGCCATCTGAAGCACCAGCTCGTCTAGTACTATGAGGTTGAAATCCTGTAATCAATAACAAAATTATTATATTAATTATTATATATATATATTACATTATTATATATATATATATATATATATATATATATATATATATATATATATATATATATATATATATATATATATATATATATATATATATATATATATATATATATATATATATATATATATATATATATATATATATATATATATATATATATATATATATATATATAATTATTTCATATATTTTATATACTTGCAGGTTCGTACATTCAAATTCCACTGTCTCTCTTGAACAGCAAAAGCTGCTGCATCTCCCCTGTGTAGGCCTCTGGTGCCCCTCCCTCTCCCTCTGCCAGATGCTCCTCCTCTCCCCCTTCCTCTCCCTCTCCCCCTCCCTCTTACAGGTCTTGCTGGACTGGAAGTGGAGCTTGAGTCACTCTCCCACTTCCTTTTCCTTCTTTGACGCATACCTCTCCTTACCGGACTAGAATTACCCTGCAATATTGAAGAATTCTTTCTTAGAAAAATCTTTCAAGAGCATGTTATAGTATGACAGAGGATTAATTTTATATTTTATAAAAATTAAAAACATGTAGGCTTTTTTTCAAATAGGCCTATATAACGTATTCAGAGATATATCATGTACATGTATATTGCTATGTAAATTTATACATGTACAGATAAATAATAATAAATATCATTTCATTGATTTTCAAAAAAAAAAATCTTTAAAATATGTATGACATGTGTAGGTGATGAATTCGAAGTTTACATGTGCCTGCAGTTTTAAAAGGGACATGTTTGACAGGTACTATATATGCATGCATGTGAATCTTGTTAAAATTGATCTTTCATCTCGCTCTTTGGAAATTTAATTTGTTGCTCCTTTCACGAGCAACAAATCAATTTTATGAAGAGCGAGATGAAATAGGTATAATTCTAATTTTGTATTCATGTGTAACATAGGGAATCATATATATACGTAGGTTCTTGCTTGTATTTTATTAAGTAATTTGTCTAAACATGCTGAATGCTCCTCTGTATTTTGTTTTCACAGGAAGGGGTATAATTTATTCTGACTTTAAATTATTTTGATATACGAAAAGAAAGAAAAGCTATGTGCTCCGTACATGACTTGGTATACCCTTAGGTGCCCCATTTGTAACGCTGTCTATTTGTATTATTATTATTTTTTTTTATCAATACGGGTATCTTGAATGGCAAACGTCGTGACTAAGTGAGTAAATCTTTCAAAACATCTGGTGTTAAATCATATACTCCTTGGGGACAGATATTTATAACATGTTTAACCCTTGTTCATTACGTAAACAAATTGTGAAATATACAACAGTCAACATACCTTGTCCATGCTGATTTTTCCCGCGGACATGCGCAATGGGATTGATGACGCACTTCCTTCATCAATATTCATAAAAAGGCAGCGAATCTCTAATTGTAAAAATCGCTGATGGCTTCATTAATACTGTAATTAATTGAGCGATATGTTGTGGAAAGTGTTAACTTTAATCACCAAATATGTTTCTTAATTCATTTAATCTAAATAGACGTTTAGATTTTTTTTTTAAATAAGGCTTGTTATAGCGTGTATTACTTTAATCCATATGTGAACATTATTTCAATAGTGGTTGCAACCTATGTTTGTTATTGAAATGAATCTCACCCACATTTGAAAAAAATATTTCAATTGTGGTCGTATTTCAATAGTGGTCATTACCTATGTTTGTTATTGAAATGCACTCTCACCCACTATTGAAACAATTATTTCAATAGTGGTTGTATTTCAATAGTGGTTACCACTATTGATATAATTATTATACCCCCCGCTTGAAAAGCGGGAGGGTATATAGTAATCGTTAATTCCGTCCGTCTGTACGTCCGTCCGTCCGTCTGTCCGTGTTTACGAGAGTGCATTTATTGGGTATTTTTCATGCCAGGATTGTACTTATTGGGTACTTTTTGCTTATTGGGTATACCCAATAAGAAGTGTCGCTGAATATGCTTAAAACACCCTAATTGGGTATTTGCAGGTTAGTACCCAACAAAACTTGGACACGACGATTTGTCCAAAAAAGTGTCCAAAAAAGTTGCTTTCACGGACGCACCGTGTTTTGTTGTTTCAGTTTTACATTCGGAACTCTAAATTCTCGAGAGTTCCGAAAATCAACTTCCGTTGATCCTGATCATAACAACGTTTGTTTTCAAGGAAAAAAAATATGGCGACTAAGAAACACTTAATGTCAACAAGATTTTCTGATTGACAAGAGAAAAGGTAAGTTTATTCGATTAATATCTATCCATTGCTGGGTTCTTGTTTAAGGAAAATTGATTTTAATGTAATTTTGAAAACAATTGTGCACAAAATTAAAATAGATATATCGGAACAATTAATCCTAAGTTGCACTTGTTTGTATTTTGAATTTTCTCTGTCTTTTTAACTCTCTTGAGGGCTAGAAGTCAGGGCTCTCACACCACTTTTTGGGACTGGGGCCGGGGCCGTTCAAATTGGGAAAATTATCGTCATTTTGGGAAAAGTTGGATAACACAAATTCATTTAAAAAATCCTCAAATTTTGCTTTTCTAGCATTTTATCACCAATGCTAACTCTGGTTTGAAAAAACAGTTAAACAGAACAAACATGGGTACGTAGGCTATTTATGAAAGTACATTAGCTTTGTCATTACTATTTTTGAGTGTTGATATTGCGGTTATATGTCTTACTGCGTGACAGTCGCTAGTCGCTTAGTCCCGAATTTCCTCGATCACATGGGCAACTTTGCTTACCAATATAGCGCGAGACTGAACATGCCGAAGCGCGGGTGTGTTTCTAGGTGCAGCTTACTAATGTTTAAATGAAATGTCTATTTTTGAAACCAAAATGCTGGTTTTTGTCGAAACTACATAACAAGATACTCTGCACTCATAGTTGTATACATTTTTGTAAAAACAATAACCTGGTTCCCCGAACCAGTTTACGAATGCATTTGGCGCGAACTAATAAAATAGTAGTACAGTTTCACTTTCATTTGCAAATGTGTTTTGTTTGGGGTTTTTTTTGCGATTAGGTTTGATGGACTTTTATTTTTTTAATTAATATTTTACTCTGGATGGAAATTGGGAAATTTACACCTTTCTTTTGGGAAAAAAGGTACCTTTTTTGCATTGGGAACGGGGCCGTTGAACGGCCCCAATTTTAGAGAATTGAGAGCCCTGGAAGTATTTAGTAAACATGGTAAATGATCGTATATTGTTAGATAATCTTTAATAAATTGAAAGTGTTTATTATTTAATTTTATATCATAACCAACTAAGTATAATCTGACAATGTATATTGGAAAGGGAAATGAAAATTTTAACAATCGTGTGTTCATAAATCAGCTGTAAATTATCGGTTCATGTAGACAGTATTACAATCGCAAAGTGAGCTGAGATGATGATAAATGGGATAATTGACAACAACTAAATAATTGTATGTAAGTTTATCTCATCTGATATGTAACTTAAGAGATTCATTGTATTACTGAAAAACTTTCAGTCAAAACAGTGCTTCTTTCCGTCTTTGATTTTGACTCAAATCAAAAAAGTGCTAAATCTAAAGCAAACTAGCATGGCGCGGCGCCATGCCCCTTTTTCCAGCGCCATGCCCTTATTTCCTAACCCAAAATTAATAAATATGCCCAGTTTAGGCAATATTCCTTTGCTGTTCTGTTTATTCAGTGCATGCTGATAATCCCTTTGTTTAAACAACGACAGGAAATCACTTCACGCTTGAACGCACGCAGAAAGCAACCTGGCTAATTAACATGCCTCAGGCTGTCAGGGTAGAGGATTTAACTTGAGAAACTGTCATTTGATTGCATTGATTATGCAAGAATTAGCCCAAGACCAAAGATAAATAAACTTGTGAATTATTAACTAATAAAAATTAGGATGGTTTTTTTATAAACCGAAAGTAGAATAAAACACATAGTTCAACTTGAAGAAAAAACGGATATTTTATCTGAATAAAATACTTACAGTGTACCAAAAAACTGAATGTGATGTGATAAAAGGCTTAAAAGCAACAAACTAAGTTAGTTTCTTTGATTGAACTGATAGATTTGACAAGCTGAGGGTCAAAGTTTCTAATTAAAGTCAGAGTTTTTTTTTTAAACAAATTATGCATGGCAGTAAGACCAGTTTTCACATGATCCTGTTGGTAGAATATTTTCCAAGTAAAGAGAATGGTCTCTACATGTATTTTTCAAAATGCCTATCCCCCCTTCCCTAAAAAAAAGTATTTTCCTTTTAATGTTTAAATTGACTGTACTTGTAAACAAATAACAGTCCAAGCAGATAAAAAAAACAATCATACCTCCAAACTTTAATAATTTTTGCACCTGTTTCAGCTAGATTAATACCATTACTTTCTCTCAAGTGTAACCTTACTACTTTTTTTATTGAAGAAATTGGATGTAAATGCCTTTTTTATATTCTTTTTGTTTCTGAATCAATAATTAAAACATTGTTTAAAAAAAAAATAAAGAATGGAATACAGATATATGAATTTATCTTTAAATAACTTGTTTTAAATAAAGATCTCAATATGAAAGGATATTAAAAGTAATTAGACATGTTAAAGTATGTAAAAATTAAAAAATGTTAAATATATAATTTCAATGACATTAACATTTGTTTTCAAAGTGCCCTCGTGAGATCCTGTCGCGACACAAAGTGCCCTTTTGATTCCTTGATTACCATGCCCTTTTTAGGGTCTAGATTTAACATTTTTTTTTTTAAAAAAAGAGTGTCTGCTTTATTTTGATTTTTTTTAAAATTATGGTTTTTGTCATCTGTTTTAATTAATTTAAAACAATACTGAAATTGATATAGGGCTACTATAACTATTTCACATGATGGGTGTGTAATTAGCATCGCGCTACACCCGGGGCTTCCATTTTTGAGGATGGGGCTAGCGTTTTTCTGCACTGAGGAATCCCCTTGGGCTATTAGGAATTTTAAAATACACATGTAATACATGAAAAGCACCACCGGTATTTTCACTCTTTTTTGCTATTAAATTCCCTAATATGGAAATATTCCAGACAGCATGCTCATATTATCCATAAATCTCCACAACTGCATCCATTTTGCAGTACTACAAGACTGATTTATTTAAAAACGATCTTTTATTTCCTAATATGAATTCCCCCCTTTCCTTTGTTTAATATAGCAATATTTGCTTGTACATATATGCCTCACAGATATCTCATTATTAAATTATATACATTCACTCAATCAGCTCAATGATAAGTGTCATGCAATTATGTAGAGTTTTTTTAAAGCCATATATGGCGTAACTGATCAAAAAATATATTTTTGAAAAATACAAAATTAAGTACAGAAATATAGTTAATGCATTTAAATTAAAGCTTTTCATACAATTCGGAGCACGGAGAACACCTCGTTTTATCTAATAATACGATTTTATCTTCTCTGTAATGTGTTATTTAAATCTTTTGTATTTTCTTCCAAGTCGGAGAAAATTCCGAGAATCCAAATTAAATTTTGATATCTTTATAACGCAGTTGACTTAGATTTTGTAATTTACGGAAAATTTCTATCTTCATCATGTTTATATAAAGTAATGATACAAATAATAAGTTCTCATAATTTTAGTCTAATAATTTTCATTGTACATACGCCATATATGGCTTTAAATGATTCAAGATGAAAACAAAATGATTTTTGCTTTGTTTTAATTAGACGAACTAGTGAATGACCAGAAAAGGAATATTGAAAATCTTTTTTTCATTTTTTTTAATCATTAATTTATATATGATTAAATTTTACTAGCGAAAATTAAATTAAAATTTAATTTTAAAAAGAATCATCTGTAGTTAATACCCTGACTTTTTTCACGATGAACTTTTTTTCAATGTTACTTTTTAATTTTTGCCTCTATATTTGGGCTTGTCACTTTTTACTCGGGGATAGTAACTTTATTGCCACAAAGCTGTGGATTAGTACTTCATTTCCTTTATTGCACAGCGATGACTATGATTTAATAGCACAAAAAGCTAATGGGGCTACGTATGTGAATTTATATGATTAATGCTTACGATTTTAGGATAACTGGAGATAATATTTCCTTTTTTCCATTGATATTACATAGATATTTTCCTAAGTATTATGTTACAATAAATTGGTTTAGATTTTTTTTTAGAAGAGATAGAGGGAAAAACTTGTACATACTACATAACTACTAGGCAACCAACCTTTAACTGCAGGAAAGCTTTTGGTATGTGCAATACAGCTACATAAAACCTCTTTAGTATTCATGTTAAGTTTGAGGAAGTACCTTAGTATTTTTAGGTCACCTGAGTAAACTCA